ACTTTGTCAAATGCCTTGGAAAAGTCAACAGAGACGGCGTCAGTTTGCAGCAGGGGGGGGGGGGGGGGGTCAATATTGATAACAATGAGAGTTGTGAAAGTGATGAGATTTGTGCTGGTTGGCCTAGATCTCAAGAATCCATGCTGTCGATCAGTAATTAGATGTTTTATTTAGGCGTAAACATGCGGATATATAACCCCATCAAAAATTTTGGGTATAACTGATAAGATATTTATGTATAACAATAATTATACCTCTCTCATACATAGTAATTATGCTTTACAAACCACAGCCGGTATATTAACGTGATTTATGTATGTAGCTATATTATATAGGTATATAATTATAATAGTTTTAATTAGGTCAAAGTGCATTTCGGTGTCATAAATGACCAACCACCACAGCGACCTATTAATACGATCCATTAATTCAACGTTTGATAATGATGTGGTTTAGGTTTAATTGTCCACATTCGGATATATTCATAAGCTCAAACATGAAGTTTGACGTGTATAACCGTTTACTATTATAACCTTTTTATTCCAAACTAGAACTCATTTCAAACAAGAACAAAAAATTGTTATGGCCGTCCTGTAAAAATATGTATTTTTTTAAAGTTAGTTACAGTAAAATATTGCAGGAAAATTATTTGTCGATACCATAGCAAGCCTTCGCTGTCAAAGATATTATGTAAATCGAGAGCAAGCACATTGTGCAAAATTAACTCGTGATAAAACACTCGCCCGCAAAAATAAAGGGTCACCTTGAAGACAGCAATGTCTTCAAGAAATTATTAAGATAAAATGGTTATTTTGAATCGTACTTGTACTGTGGTGCGTTTTATGAGTAGCGGCAGCACGCGATTCCTTCCGCGTTAGCTTTTTAACTCCGTTTTACTCATTTAGGGGGTGAGTTTTGGAAAATCCATTCTTAACGCTCGTCTACATCATAATAGCTATATGTGTGACAAATTTCAGCTCAAGCCGTTCAGTGGTAAGAGCTGTGCTTTCATAGATTAGTCGGTAACGGTTGCCTTTTATATACACCGTGAATTTTGAGATACCTGTAAAACTTAAAAATGGAGTAAATTAAAAAAGTGCAAACAATTATTATAAGCAGTATACGTACTACACCCTCCTACAAAAATATTGATTTATATCGGTTACGAAATATCCTAAAATGGCTCATAATTGTAAATAACATACATATTATGGAATTATTACCCGTTTAAAGTACGTAGTTTTTAAAATTAGGTCTACTTAAATATTTTTATATAACAATTAAAAATTATTAAGGTTTCATAATTGTAAAATTAGCAAGTTAACGTAGAGAAATTTTTCGAAACAAATAATTAAAGAAAAAAATATATTTGCGGAAATGTAACCCAAATCGTTGTCTGAATTCGCTAGTAAAGTTTTCAGGTAACTCAAAATTCACGGTGTATACAGATTAAATTTTCTTTGAGATACTTTTCAATTCATAGAGGTAGAATATTGAGTTTCTAAGGAATTTGTTGTTAACTAGGTGACCCTTTATTTTTTTCGGGCGAGTGTATTTGCTGAATACAAAATTCTGCCTCGTGGCGTTTATAATGGCCGTGCAGGCACGTTTCGCAGAATCCTGCGTCAGCTTATTCGAGCTGGGAACAGAACACGTCAGGATTTTATTTCAACAAAACGTTATGTTTGATTAAACATTGTGTGATTCCAAAGTTTATGGTGTGTGATGGTTGGACGGGTTGAGTTGAGTCGGCTCGTTGCTATATGTAGGTACAGGATTTTACTTAGGTTACGTAAATAATGATATTAAATCACCTTGATACACCAACACGAACAAAATCGTGCCCGAAACCTGTCCAAAAGGTACATTGGACGATCGACGGAGCGCCGTAAGATGATCGCGTTGTCAAAAACAATATAAGGCGTTATGTTGCTAATTATTTAAAGAGCCACTATTTTCGCATTAGAATATTTCCTCCCATTTATCTGATTAACTTTTCGTAAAAAGTATTTTTAAAAGTAAAATAAATACAAATAATTTGTTGTAGTCGGTCGGCCTGACAGAAAATCTGTGAACTTTTATTTTGTTCATTTGAAAAAATCAAAGAATTAATTATCATAAAGCCTTCTCTCACGCCTGTATAAAATAGTATCTATTATTTTAAAATGCAAAATAATTATACACGTTAAGGGCAGTTTCTTAGCCATGTCCTTTTACGACTTATTGCTATATGCGGAAGAATATAGACCTACCTTCTTTGACTTTACGCGCAATTCTGAATGTGTTGTTAGCAATATAGCAGGTACAGACCGCGAGAAAAGGAGATGGCTATCTAATCGACCATGCCTTTGAATATCACAAATATTATCAATTAAATGAGTTTATAGTATTTGAACAAAATTAACTTCAAATGCGTTAAATTAACTAACATTGATTAGATACTTGTCGAAAAAACGACACTTTGCATACTAAAAGTATTTTTTTCGCGTTTTTGCACGGAGCTTTGCGGCAATTGACTTTTCAACGGTCCGCGCGTGACTGTGAACCAAGAAGTGCTTAAGTGGAGTTCAAGCAATTCTTGATTGGGGCACATTTTGAGCGCACGTGGTGTATGTAGGGTATTTAATATCGTTGTACATCAAAGTTTACGGAATTGAATTGACGTTTGTTAAAGTGAATTTTTTATGACATGACACTTTTTTTTTTTTTTTAAGTTCTATTCCAAAAGGGTACCAAATGGAGTCCTATGTACGTTTATTGTAGTAGAAATAGGAAGTTAATGACCTGAAATTTTCAGTTTGCGTGCCATTTAAGTCGCTATAATAACAATACAGGGATTTTACTATTGTACTTTGTCGTATAGACGTATTTCCTTCACCTTTTTACACAGCCTCATTCAATATTTACTGTAAAAAATCTGAAAAAAAGCAATAAATTAATTTTTATAGTCCTACATCCTACTAATATTATAAATGTATGTATTGAAAAAAAAACAGTAAATTAATTTTTAAAGTTCTACATCCTACAAATATTATAAATGTGAAAGTTTGTATGTTTGTTACTCAATCACGCAAAACTACTGAACGCATTTGAATGCAATTTGGTACGCATATAGTTTATGATGGATGCGAGTGGCCCAGGATCGATCTGAGTGGCGTGTATTTGGAGAGGCCTATGTCCGGCAGTGGACTGGGATGGGCTGTTGATGATGATGATGATGATAGTTTATGACCTGTATTGCGACATAGGATACTTTTAACACCAGAAAATTTTAGGTTCCTATGGGATTTTGAAAAAGAAAGTTAACGCAGGCGAAGGCGCGGGCGGCCGCTAGTGTACCTTAAACACACGATTCGACGATTCTAAGAGAAACGGCAAATATCCTAGCTGTTTAAGGATTTTTGATAGTTTGTATAATGCGATTCAACTAAGAATAGGACCGACTGGGCGCCATATTGTGATGTCATAGCTGTCAATTCAAACCAAATAGGTAGAATGAGCAATAAAGTATTTTTATTTAATAAACTGATTTACTAAGATTAAGTAAGAAAAAGCGTGAGATTTTTTTAATAACATTTATTTACTAAGATTGAGAAAAAAACCCACCGATTTTTAATAATATTTATTTATTAAGACTGTGAGAAATAACTTTTATTTGAATCTAGCTCTTCCATTCTGCATTACTGCCGGAGTAGTTATAAATAATCATGCACTATTACTAGGTCACATACGAACATGCATACTTTATGTAAACTAAAGTTTGTAATCGAGTTTCCGAACGCAACTTAAAGTGACATTTGGTTGACGATTTAGGTTATCAACCATTCATGGCCAAAGCTCAATAAGTGAAAAAAAAATATCAACCGATATTAATTATCAATACTTGTTATTGTTTGTTAACAAATGTTTGGTTTTTATTTTAGAATTAGCCGAGTGTTAAAAAGGGGTTCCAAGATTTTTTTGCAAACCGTAGTTTTCAAGCGACATTTGACAGTTAGAGGTCATTGGCTTTCCTATTCTTATTTGAATCGCATTATAATAATAATAATAATCTTTATTTGCAGAATATGGTTACAAATGGTGATACAGAGATAAACAGCATCCTATATTCTTACCCAATGGGGTGTGCAAATTAATTGACATGTCGAGTGAAAAAAAAAACTTATTACAATTATTCCATTCATTGAGCATAATATAAACAAATTCACACTATCATTGTCAAACAATATAATAATCTCAATGTCAAACAATATAATAATCAATCTTGTTCATAAAGTTAAGGACATAATAATAATTTAAATTTCAGCATCACTTAAATATTCCTTTAGTGTATAATAAGCTTTATTTACTAAAAACTTTTTTAGGGTCACTTTATATTTTATCACATTATCGATTTGTCTTATATCTTGTGGTAGCTTGTTATATACTATCGGAGCAACGCCATGTAAACTATTACATTATATTCAATTACTCTATTACCCACTTGTTTTCCGAATCATCTAAGGGCTTAAATCTGGCAGTAAAAAAATAATTCACTAACAAGCGGCATAATTCAGAGTTGTAGTGGCTCCATTAAAATGATTAAACGCGCAATCTGCCCGCCCGATCGCCGGGTGATGTATTACTCCACGTTATCAGCCTTACGAGGGAGCGGGCGGAAAACTAACGGAAATTCTACAATAGTAATTACATCGCTGAATTGTTCACAAGTTCTGGTTTGGACTGATAAACGTTTAAGTGTCAGTTTTCATTGTAAAAGTTGAATTAGGATACCTCGTTTGGTATTAAATATTCGAGGGCTTGTTTAAAGGCTAGACACTTAGAAACGTAAACACAAAAACCGCTGCGTTTTTCTCGAACTGGAGTGATTTCTTGGGGAACAATTATTTTGCAAGGAAAAGAAAATGTGCTGGATAAAATTGCTCTATAACTACTAAGCCAGCCTATGTCTATCTTACTATGTGTCAGTCACTAGACTGATGGCGATTGTTTTGTTCCAGTTTCAACAAGTTGCTACTCCAAAAGGAGGAGTTGGAGCAGAAGCAGCTGCATTTGCTGCAAGTGGTGGAGAGCGAGCGTACCTCCCGCTGGCAGTACGCCCAGCAGTGCGATGAGCTCGCTAACGAGGTTAAGAAGCTCAGAACCGAGGTATGGGTTACCTACAGGAGATTACAGCTTCAGCTGTTGCAACTGATGGGGGAGTAAGGACTCCATCTCCTGGCAGTACGCCAAGCAGTGCAATGAGCTCGCCAACGAGGTCAAGAATCCAGAACTGAGGTATGGCTTTCCTTCCTTAGGATGCAGCTGCAGAAGTTGCAGGTGATTGAGAGTAAGGACTCCTCCTGCTGGCCGTACGCCTAGCATGGTGATGAGCTCGCCGACAAGGTTATAAAACCAGAACTGTGGTATGAGTTTGTTTTATACGAGGCTCAACAAATTACTCCACTCTACCCAACTCCACCTGATGTTAAATGTAAGTGAAGTCTAATAATAATAATAATAACTTTATTGCTTAAAAAACTGTGTACAATTATGCAGTTGGAATTGCAATAATAACATAGTCACAACAGTGTGCCCATAACGGGCATGCAATGGTAAAATTTATAACTTAAAACTATCTTAATTTAAAAAGTACATTTTAGAGTCTAAATTATATTAAGTTTTACGAGTATAATATTCATCAAGATTATAAAAAACATTATTTCATAACCAGCTTTTTAACTTAAATTTAAACAGTGGCAAATTGTGCGCTTTAATTTCTGCAGGCAAATGATTGAAGATCCTAATGCTAGTACTGAAAGCGCTATTATAATACAAGTGATTATTTATCCTAGGTATGCATATATCATATTTGTATTTATTACGCGTATTCGGACGTAATGTTGTTTTATTTTCAAAGTATTCTGGATTTTGTTTAATAAAAATTGCTGATTGTAATATATAAATATTGGTCAAAGTGAGATCTAGTCGCGAAGATAGATGATGCCGCAGAAAGTGTGCCGCTAAAGCTATCCTTACCTTGCCGGCATGAACCCAATCTACCCCGTGGAGCCCTGGAACCTTACTTACTAGCAGAAACACAATACCACCAAAAGGTAGAGTTATTTTACTGCGATCTTCGGTAAGGTGGAGGTTGCTTCCCCAAACGGGCACTCCAATTCGAGCGGTAAATCAACTGTGCCCTACCTTGCGAAAAAAATGTTACCTACAGGAGGATACAGCTGCAGTAGTTCGAGGTGATAGGGAGTAAGGACCCCTCCTGCTGGCAGTACGCCGCAGTGCGAAAAACTACCTATAGGAGGTCACAGCTGTAGTAGTTGCAGGTGGTCACTGACAGTACGCGCAGCAGATCGATGAGCTCACCAATGGACTCAAGCAGCTCAGGACTGAGGTACGTGTCTACCTACAGAAGGACACAGCTACAGGAATTCACAGCATCCAGAAAAAAATACATGCTTATATTACTTAAGTCAGAAACATACTTATGAAACGCGACGCCACCCCACGCCACGGACACGTATTTTCTAAGGCGCATTGTGTCGGTTCGGATGTTCACAGCTACAGGAATTCACAACATCCAGTAAAAAATACATGCTTACATTACTTAAGTCAGAAACAGACTTATGAAACGCGACGCCACCCCACGCCAGGCGAAAGTATTTTCTAAGGCGCATTGTATTGGTTCGGATGTTCCTAATGTGATTCTGATCATAGAAAATAGTACATTTTGATTTTACTCATCACGCGTGGTGTGGCTTCGGGTGGCGTCGCGTTTTTTTAAGAAGTTTTATAAGACTGTTTCTGCCATAATACTCTCCTATGATCATAGCTCTAAATTTTTTTACAAGTATCAGTAAGAATCAGGGATACTGGTATACTTGTAAAAATATGTACCTAACCTAACCTAACCTAACCAAACCAATTTTTAAATGTACTTTGTCAACTGATAAAACTTAAAAATCATTTTTTCGTTTACTTGAAGAATTGGTACTTACTTAGATATCACCTCCCGATGGATCGAGGTATAAAAAGCAGAGAGTGTAAAAATGGTACTCCCATCCATTATTTCATTATTTTCTTCCAGCTGTGCACATACAAGAAGGAGCATGAACCCAGCACCCGAGCAGCGTCTACCACCAGTCTGTCTCCCACCGATTCACCGGACATTGATCCGGCAGAACTAAGGAAAATCAAAAAAGTTCAAGTAAGCTTCTAGCTCTAAAAGTAACAATAACCTTGTATATAAAATTCTCGTGTCACAATGTTAGTTACCATACTCCTCCGAAACGGCTTGACCGATTTTTATGAAATTTTACATGCATATTCCGTGGATCTGAGAATCGGCTACTATCTATTTTTTATATTCTTAAGTGATAATAGTTGTCCACCTGTTACGTAGTGTTCTCATATGGGTTAGGAGGAATGTTATCCCAGGACATTGATAGACCACTACGTTACACACCCCTAAATTTTTTTTGGACAATGTTTATATTTTTATAATGTGGTATTAAAAAATACATACATCCCTAAATTTGTTCTTCTACCACCTGCCCCTATTTTTATGGCGGTAGGAAGTTCGCTGGGTCAGCTAGTAATAATATATATTTATTCTCTTCTGACACACAGGAATTCACAAAAATAAATTGGTATGCAATCAGTAATAGTTTTTATTATTATAATACATCACCATACAAAGATTAACAAAACAAAGTATATATGAAGTGTGAGAAGCTGGTGCCAGAAGTAGGCATTAAAGCCTGTAGTGCAATGCTATTAGTGCTATTTTGTAAGAACAACTTCACTTTTAACGCGTTATCCACCGGTGTGATTTGAAATTTATTAAATACTAGTGGTCCGCCCTCGCTTCGCTTCGGGGTAGAATTGATCAAAATCCTTTCTTAGCGAATGCCTACGTCATAACATCTACCTGCATGCCAAATTTCAGCCCGATCCAGTCAGTCAGTCACCTTTGAGTTTTATATATATGTATATATATAGATTGATGCTCTAATTAAAAAAATAAATAAAACCGACTTCAAAATCGAAAATGGAATAAAAAGTAAAAAAATATTGGTTTATGATTTGAAAGTCGGGCGGGTCAAGATTGAAAGACGTAGTATTACCGATCAGAAACGAAAATCTATTTAATGTTTCAATCTTGACCCTGCCCGACTTCCAAATCATGAATCAGGTTTTATTTTTTGTTTAAAAAAATTGTATTTCATCCATATTAGTAAAATTAACTACATCGTCCAAGTAAACATTAACGCAATTGACTTAGAAATCGGTGAACATGCATGAAAATCATTTAAAACATCGTGTGTGCCTTTGAAATTTGAAGGTTTCCCTCTATTTCCCCGGATTCCACCATCAGATCCTGATTTGGGACCACCTCGGAAATGCACTCTTTCGAATAAAAAAAAACAATTTTGGAAATCGGTCCACAATTGACAAAAAAATATGCAGTCGAACACAGAACCTCCTCTTTTTTTGAAGTCGGTTAAAAATCACACAGCGGTTTCTGGAGGTGAAAAGTGAGTTTGCTCCATGGTTCTTACAGAATAGCAGTGCAGGTTATCAGGCCAGGGTTGCAAGGTCCGATTTTGAAATAGAGGTATACTTATTCCGATTTGCCAATCCGCACTGGGCCCGCGCGGTGGGTAGGTAAGGTCTGTGCCCCTGGCTGATGATGAAGTACAGTAGCGAGTCTAGAAATCATTAAGTTAAGCAGTATGTACTTAACTGGCATATCCATGTCCAAACTATGATAAGAACTTAATTTGCCAAGACCGTAATTTAACTCGCCACTGTACTAAACGAAGTGTGAAATCAGCCCTAAAACCTATTTAAGATAATCTTTTTTTAATTTTCTTTACCTTAATATTTTTTTTTTGTTCTGTCAGAGCTTCTTCCGAGGATGGCTGTGTCGGCGTCGATGGAAGCAGATTGTGGACCAGTACATCAAGAGCCCACACGCGGAAAGCATGAGAAAACGAAACAGGTACATATATTGTCTATCTAAAAGAGATATTAAAATCCTACTAACATTACAAATGTTAAAGTTTGTAAGTTTGTTACTCAGTCACGCAAAAACTACTAAATTGATTTGGATGACATTTGATACGCACATAGTTTATAACAGGGATTGTAATAATAATAATAATCTTTATTTTTCTTCCACAATCTACAAAACACATGATAACTTATTATAATATAATTTTATATGAGAACAGTTAAAATAGATTGAGTGAGTGAATGGTGCCTGAACTAGGCAGACCGCCTGTATCTCAGAGCACCAGGATTCTCCTTCCTCTAGAGAATGAAGAGCGAGCAAATTATAAGGTCACTGGTCTTACATTTAAATTGTAGTTTTGGATTGAGACTAGAGAGATTCGAGTGGGATTCTCAGAAAACTAAAGATAACGTGGACGAAGTCGCGGGTATCCGCTAGTCTTCTATAAATATAAAACTCAAAGATGACTGACTGACTGACATAGTGATCTATCAACACACAGTCCAAACCACTGGACGGATTGGGCTGAAATTTGGCATTCAGGTAGATGTTATGACGTAAGCATCCACTAAGAAAGGATTTTGATCAATTCTACGCCCAAGGGGATAAAATAGGGAATGAAAGGTTGTATGAAATTTTTGTTAATTGTAAACCGATCGGGCTGAGACTTTGCATGCAGGTATAAGAAGAATCATAGATGAATGTCATTGTGTATAATACAAGCCTGAGAACAAAAACTGTAGCTAACTACACCGAAGCGAAGCGAGGGCGGGCCGCTAGTATATTATATTTGTTTAAATAAATAATTTATATTGCAGCTTGGTGTTCAAAATGGTGGAAGCAGAAGAGGAATACCTTGAACAGATGGAGATATTGGTAAGCATGGTTATGTTAATTTTTAAGATTTTTTGATGAAGTTTCTAAAGAGCTTTTGGCAGTGTTAATGCCACTTAAAATATTCAGTTATAATGGTATATTTATGATAAGTATAGAACCTTCACCTTTTTTAGTTATAAATGGTCAAAAAATTTAACGTTAGAGTCTGTGCGTAAAGAGTTTCTAGTACCTATCTATTTTTTACATTAGATGCAATTAGTACCAACTCAAGTGTTAACTTCTTTCAGGTAACCTGCTTCCTGCGACCTTTCAAGATGGCGGCTAGTTCCAAGAAGCCCCCGTGCACCCACGAGGACGTCAACTCCATCTTCCTGAACAGCGAGACGGTGCTGTTCCTCCACCAGATCTTCTTCAAGGGGCTCACCTCCAGGATGGAGTCTTGGCCCACTCTCGTACTAGGTGAATCTTTAATAGCAAAATACCAAATAGGTGGGTTGGGGCACGTGTCGCCCGAAGCAAACTGGCCCCAGTATTTTAATTTATTTTTCTTAGTTACAGGTGTAACCTAACCTTACATAACTATGTTTCTTTCTTCTTTTCCCGTCTCTTCGTTCTGTCTTGTACTATTCCCTAGACCCTCTTTTCTAATATATATCTTAGCATAACCTAACCTAACCTTACATAACCATTTTCCTTTTTTCTCTTCCCGTCTCTTCGTTCTGTCTTGTACCGTTCGCTAGACCCTCTTTTCTAATATATAACTTAGTCTTACCTAACCTTACATAACCATTTTTCTTTTTTCCCTTCCCGTCTCTTCGTTCTGTCTTGAACCGTTCCCTAGTCCCTCTTTACTAATATATAACTTAGCCCTTGCACTTTCCACTGTGGTAGCACGAGCGCGCCTCGAGGACGCATGGGGTTACGTACCTAATGGAGAAACAGACAAAATACATAAAAAAATCAAAGAAGTTTCAACGTTTTAGATGCATTGATTTTATTTATTTAATGACGTTTCGCATGCTTTGCAGGAATGCAAACACCGACGAAGCATTCCTGCAAAGGACGCGAGATAATGACATTGGTGTCGATTCTGGCGTAATTCTCTAAACTTAAACTTTCATTCTGTATAGAGAATGACAAGGATACACTGTTGTCAAATTTAAGTTTAGGTTTAGAGAATCATGCCAGAATCGACACCATTATGTTATTATTCCGACGACGCATTCCTGCAATGGATACGAAATAATGGCATTATGTCATTATTCCGCCGAGGCATTCCTGCAATGGATACGAAATAATGGCATTATGTCGTTATTCCGCCGAGGCATTCCTGCAATGGATGCGAAACGTCAATAAATAAATAAAATCAGTGCATCTAACCCGTTGAAACTTGTTTTATATATAATGAGTGATTTGCATGAAAACCTAAGAAACAAATCCTTAATACAAGCAAGCTACTAATTAATACGAAAAAAAGAACTATCGATTACATTTAGTTCTATTGTAGACTTTTGGTCGTCTCTCACCTTCACATACACTGTAGCATAAGATCCTACTGGATGGAACTACTCCTGAATGAATTCAGAAGCATGATTGTTTTGAAAATTTCTTTATGGAAATGTTTCAGAGTTCCTGGTTCCCTGGTTCCGAGACCTGTATGAATGATGTGTGTAAATAGAAAAAAGTGTACTCTATTACCAAGCCAGGACACTTTTTGTTATGCTATATTATGATTTGTTTAAAAAAGAAAATATTTTTTGTTGTTTTTTATTGAAATAAAGAAGCGTAAAAAGTCAATCGCTACAGAACGTTACGCTCTTAAGGACTGATTTTTTTCTCTTGATACCTAAAATTATCTCCTCACCTGATGTTGAGTGCGTCTGGACTTTGAATTTCATAGCAAATCAAGATATATGGCAATGAAGCAGCAGAGGATAATGTTGCACCAACCACTTTTGTGGAAATAAAACCTCTCTCCTCATCACAAACGTGGTCTAGAAGTACACGTTTACCAACCATATTGATTGAATAAACATTCATGAATCAAATTAAGGATCAACTCTGAAACGTCTAGTAAAATTGACGTTTGAAAGTATGGACTGGTTTGCGTCAAATCCGGTAGTTCTGTTTTTTGAAGATTAGTTTATGTTGTTGACCCAATTACTTACACAAATTTGTGACCTCAAGCATCGAACGCAACTATGTCAAAAATCGATAAAACCGCGAAAATTATAACCCTAAAGTAGGTACTAGCTTTTGATAGTAACTTCACATCACAAGACGTTTCTGAAGTGGCCTAATTTGGTACAATATTAAGACTAGAATTATCTCTATAGACTCAATAGTTACTGAGATAGAGCCTTTCATAGTTTATAATTTCTATTCTAGAGCAATTATGACTAGCACTCCTCCGATTGCTATCTCGTCAGGTGTATTAGTTGATGTCCAAAATCTGAAAAAGGACGAGATTTTCGAGGTATTATAGATTTTTAACACAAAATTGCATTATTCATTGGGTCAACATCATAAACAAGTCTGCAAAAAAATCAGAACTACCGGATTGTATACTCTTAAGTATTAAATATTATTCGTTAGCTTTTAAAATTGATTCAGGAACTTTGGTGCTAATGGTGGTAATTTATTAGATAAGTGGTTTCAAGTTAGACAAGTACTTAGTAGAGGCGTGCATATAGGAGACCTATTCGACATGTTGCTGCCGATGCTGAGCATCTACCAGGAGTACGTGCGCAACCACCACTACTCGCTGCAGGTGTTGACCGAGTGCAAACAGACCCAGCCCTTCGCGCACCTGCTGTCGCGGCTCGAGACCAAGCCTGCCTGCCAGGGCCGCTCGCTCGAGACCTTCCTCACCTACCCGATGCATCAGGTATTCCTCTTAAACTGTACGAAGCATAAGACTTCTATATTACTTTAACTGATACATAAGCCAGAGTGCAAGTAGAGCCCACCCTTTGCACCAGGGCTTGTTTACCGGTTAATTTTCAAACCTAAATCAGTGTCAAGTACATTAGGAGCGTTTTATTTAGGTTTGGCTCTACCTTTACCTTAAAGAAACCGGTTTTCCTAAAAAGCGAAAATAAATAGGATTTGAATCAATTTAGCGGTTTTTAAAGGGTTTCATTTCGCTCTTACAGACGGCTGAAATAAATACACAACTACAAAATAAATAACTTGACTCACTAGACGCTAGCAAACTTGTCAATAAAGGCGGTATCAGACGGTTCACTTTTCGTTCATTTTTGTCTTTAATTCGGCATCTTTCACTCGAAATGATTCGTCTGAACCCCAAATGAAAGAAGAGTGCCGAATGAATTCATTAATGAACCGATCCGACTTTGTTAGATTTTATCATTCGGCATCTTTCATTCCAACTGCGAAGGAACGAAAAATGAACGGTCTGCACACCGAGAGAACGTTCACTCGGATTCGGCCATTTTGTCTCGAGCCCGGTAGCAGACGCACGTCCCGTTGCGTCATGGAAAATTGGAAGCAAAATGATGTTCAAGTAGAATAAGCAAAGTTCGCTGCTGTTTTTGGAACATTTTAAGAATAATCAATGTTTATGGAACCACAAACTTGACGAATACAAGGATAGGACATTACGTACAAACGCTAAAAAATTCCTAATTAGTGATTTAAACCTCGAGGTTACTGAAGAAGACATCAAACATAAAATAAAAACTAAACGGAACCGCTTTACAACTGAATTAACAAAAATAAATCCTTCTATTAAAAGTGGTTGTTCTTCTGACGATATATATCGTGTGCCTACACTGTACTGGTCATAAACTAACATTACTAACTTTTGGATTAAATGATCACAAATTAAACGGATTCCGCGATGCACGATTTCATCCTATGACATATTTAAAGTAAATATCAGATGAACGTTCTCTTCTTTGTCATTCGCAGTAAGTTGTGTGAACATGGAATGAAAGAAAAATGAAGCATTCATTCGTGTGAATGTTCACTCGAGTGTACCGTCTGATATCACCTTAAATGCATCAGTCTCTGAGCATTAACAAGTTGTGACTTGATTAGTTCAAATAAAAGAAACTTCAAGCGATGCCAACGTGTGCACGTGTCGCTCTGGATTAAACCGGTTTATTAAGGTTTTAGGTACCGCTTTCATTTCGGACGCGCTCCGAACGAAACCTTTACTAAAAACCGGTATTAAACTGCCCTGCTTTGCGCACATGCTGGCGCGACTCGAAACCAAGCCCGCATACGAGGGCTGCTCGTTGGAGACCTTCCACACCTACCCCATGCATCAGATATTCTTCATAAACTGTAGGAAGCATACGACCTCTATATTACTTTAACGGATACGTACGAGTAAGCCAGAATGCAAGCAGAGCCCACCCTTCGGGCACATGCTGGCGTGGTTAGAGACTAAGCCCGCTTGCCAGGGCGTTGGAGAACTTCCTCACCTACCCCAAGCATCAGGTATTCCTCTTAAACTATAGGAGGCAGGCATTAGCCTTCTACATTATTTTGTCGCAAATATAAGCCACAGAGCAAGCAGAGCCAGCCGTTCGTTTCCGATGGAAACAATCAGTCCAGATTATAGAAAGGTCTTCATCAGTAGCAGAAAACAACAGTAATAGATCAACTTCCTGGCAAGCGATGAGCGAGCATGAAACGAAATTGCAATCTATATATATATAAAACTCAAAGGTGACTGACTGACATAGTGATCTATCAACGCACAGCCCAAACCAGTGGAAGGATCGGGATGAAAATTGGCACGCAGGTAGATTTTATGACGTAGGCATCCGCTAAGAAAGGATTTTGATCAATTCTACCCCCAAGGGGATAAAATAGGGAATGAAAGTTTGTATGAAACTTTGTCAATTTTAAACGATCGGGCTGAGACTTTAAATGCAGGTATAAGAAGAATCATAGATGAATGTCGTTGGGTATAATACAAGCCTGAGAACAAAAACTGTAGTCTACACTTCAGCTCTACACCGAAGCGAAGCAAGGGCGGGCCACTAGTAATTAATAATGTTCTACATCTCTTATTTAACTATGTATTTTTACAACTACGAATGTGCGTATGTTGTCAGATCCCGCGGTACATCATAACACTGCACGAGCTGCTGGCGCACACGCCGCACGACCACGTGGAGCGGCGCAGCTTACAGCACGCGCGTGCGCAACTCGAGGAGCTCTCGCGGCAGATGCATGATGAGGTAACCTATCAAGCGAGCAGTTTATTACAATGTCTGTAAGTTTTGGTATACGTTTTAAGAGGAAATTTCTCAAACCCAAGTTCATGTTTATAACCTCAATTTGATACAAATTGTACTAATCTTTTGGGATAGGTCAAAAATTCCCATTTAAATAGAAAAAAAACTTAGAATGTTAGAGTAGAGAGAAAATTCTCACTCGCAGCGGCTCAATGAAATACCACCGGGGAAATGGTCTTATTCATTACTCCACTATAGTGTAAAATATGGTTCTAATCGTATTCGTCTTTTGCAGGTCAGCGAGACAGAAAATTTGCGGAAGAATTTGGCTGTTGAACGCATGATTATCGAAGGTTGTGACATTTTGTTAGACGTGAACCAAGTCTTCATAAGGCAAGGTAAACCATTTGTATTGATAGAAGAATTCTTATATCAAGGCTAGATAGAATAGCAGAATTGAGAAAAAATTACGGTTAGGTTGTGAAGCTCAAAATCAAGGTGCATGTACTATTTAACTGTCTCCCAACGTCGTACTGAGCTGTTATGTACTGGCCCTGTTGGCACGTTGATGTTAGTTGTTTACTATATATTTCGTTTATTATTATCCAATGTACCAGTAAATTAATTCAATTCATATCATGAATATTTGTCGATATTTAGATCATATATTTAACATACTAATAAATAAGTTTTTACTTATACCTTAATCACACTAAAACAGCTGATATGAATAGATTTAGATAAAAAATTGTTTAATACCAGAATTGAGACAGACGATACTTTTTATCGGACGAATTAGCGGACGGAAGCTAGGTAGTTTAATAATAATGTGTGGTGGTGGTGTCTTTACATCTTATCTGACACTGTTATTAATAAACGGATGCGTTGCACGCAGGCACGCTGTCCCAGGTGGTGGGCAAGGGTCGCCGTGCGTCTCCACAGGCGCGACAAGCGTTCCTGTTCAGCAACCACCTACTGCTGACTACGCGCGCCGCCGGCGGCCGTCTGCATCTACCGCCCGCCGGTAGACTGCCGCTCCACGACGCGCTACTGGTGGAAGACGTGTCCAGCCATGACGACGACGGTCAGTACAACCTGCTGTACAGCACCTGCCACCTGCATCTACCTGTAACTAGAAGACTGCCCCTCCACGACGCGTTATTGGTAGAGGACATAACCAGCTACGACGATAACGGTCACATATTACGGATGCCTTGTTTGTTCTTGTTTGATTACCTTGCTTCTTTCTGTAGATCAATTGAAGCCTGCACCTGCTGTAACCTCCTGTACCAGGATGGTAAGGAACTACCTACTTAAGCTTCTACTAAAGTTTTCACGCCTAGAAAATATGTTACAGTGATCAGGTTATAATCGTAACAGGTTATTGATAACTGCCGTTCCACGAAGCGTTACTGGTGGAGGACGTGTCTAGCCACGTCGACGACGGTGAGTACACCACCTACCGCCTGTACCTACGTCTATATAGTAGACTGCCGCTGTACGACGCGTTATTGGTAGAGGACGTGTCCAGCCACGACGACGACGGTCAGTACACCACCTGCCGCCTGCATCTGTCTCTAACCAGTAAACAGCCGCTCCACGATTCGTTATTGGTGGAGGACGTGTTCAGCCACGACGATGTCGGTCAGCTCACCACCTACCGCCTGCATCTACCTCTCACTAATAGACTGCCGCTCCACGACGCTATACTGCTAAAGGACGTGTCCAGCAGGTCAGTACACTACCTGCCGCCTGTATCTACGTCTAACTAGTAGACTGCCGCTCCACGACGCGTTACTGGCTTAGGACGTGTCCAGCCACGACGACGACGGTCAGATATTCTGATGTTTTGTTTGTTCTTGTTTAATTCCCGCCCCCTTGCTTGTTTCTGTAAATCATCTGCAGTGCTATTCTGTTTTAAGAACAAATTCACTTTTCACCGCGAAATCCGCGTTGTAATTTTAAATTAGAATACGAATTTCTAACCACACCGGCGAATTCCGCAGTTACATGTGAGTTTGTTCTCAAAGAATACAGATCCCCAAGCAAAATCTACACAACCAACAACTCCACTGCACGTCAAACTATCAGGATGATATGGAACTACTTTTGCTCCTACAGAAGTTTTCACTCCAAGAAAATATTTAACAGTGATCAGTTTAGAACTGTAACAGACCATTGAATAGAAATTATCAATAAAAATACTCGTTTTCGTTGCAGATTCTACGTCTGTTTGCTCGTCTCCTGGAGGCGATGCGTATCAAGGGAAAGACTTTAAAATTCTTGTGGAAGTAAAGGGGGAGCAAATATGTGCCCATTTAGGTAAGTTTGACATACGATGTGAAGAAATTATCTTTTAGCCTAAGATATTCAACACGTCCTTTAAGGTTCCGGAAGTATATTAGAATAGTGAGTGCATTTGCCCCGGGACAGCGAAGGGCTCTGTTCCGACCTTAGCCAGATCTCATCGCATAAACTGAATAATCCTGTCCTAGGACGAGAGTAGTTTGATCTAATTGCCAATTTCTGGACTAAACCAATGTATTGTGATAAATGTATTTGACTTATAGATAGAATTATAACTTTTTGACGATTCACCAAGTCTCCAACGTCTTCATCATCATTAGCCTGTTAATATCCCTACTACTGGAGCACAAACCTTCGTTATGGATGGAATAGGGAGATTGGGCCATGACCCACCACGCGGGCGGCCCAGAACGACTACAGACGCTGCCGGGACCAACGGATAAAGGTACCTTCCAAAGCACGGAAGAGTTCTAGACAATAAGTTTTTGGTCACCCGTCTAATGATAGACCATTGCGAAAGTTGTTTCAATTACAGGATCGCAGGCTGAATACTTTAACCACCTTCGTCATCGAGCTCCTCACATAGCAGCCTCAACTTCTGAAAATCTTGAATAAGTTTTTCAGTAACGCGTGTATGTACCCAGTGGCGGCGACGTTAGAAGAGAAGGCGGCGTGGACAAGTGAGCTAGCACAATGTATGGAATCAGCCGCACTGACGGAACTGTTACGCGCGTGCGGCGCTTGTGGTGCCGCGTCCGCCAGTCTGCCCGCGTGCCGCTCCGACCGCGCGCTCTTCACCGACGACGTGGACATCCGCTTCAGCCGCACGCTCAACTCCTGCAAGGTGCCGCAGATCCGCTCCGCCACGCCGCAACGCCTGCTGCAGCGCCTCACCGGTGAGACACGCACATATATCTTCCCACTGTGGACGATGCTCTAGGAGAACTTTACCTGCCAGTCTGCCCGCCTTCGTAGTGCTGATACGATCTATCAAACTCCGTGTTTGTTAGCTGACGATTTTCATACTGCCCCATCCCGTCTAATGCGGCAGAAGGTGTGCCGCTCCATCTATTCTCACCTTGCTGGCCTGACCCAATCACCTACCCCGTGACGCCCCGGAGGGACACACTTTGAGGCATACAAGCGGTATTTGGTATTTCTTTTAGGCGCTGGCTGAAAATCAGCGCTGCTGTGGTATCGCGAAAATACTACCACAGTAGCATAGCTGAGACAGCGAGCTGTTGGCCCTGCACAGCAATACCAGCAGATTAATTTTGTTGTTTTTGTTTATTTTTTTTTGTTCTGTTTTGTAATTCTGTTTTGTTTTCAATGTATGTATGCTGTGCAACCAATAAATGTTTTACTTTCTTTATTTCTCTTTCTTTCTTTCTTTTACGGTATAGTCACTTTAATTATTATTACTGCCAATGATACTTGGATGAATACGTACATAAGATACGCCACGCTACGAAACTTATTTAAACACCTCAGTACGTCGATGCGAATAGATTTAAATACTTCTGAGACAAAAGTGAACAGAGAGAACTAATTATTTATTAGTCATTTGAGGTTGTTTTGTGGTAGTGATATTGATCATGTTACTCCATAGTAATATATCCAAGAGTTTCATTCTTTATGTAACTACCTCACACCAATTTTTTCCCTGCCTTCCAACGTACTACTACACTACTGCCTAGTCAAAACAAACCTTATCTGATCTGCTATTTCTGTCAGTAGACTAACTTAACTCGTTCCTGCTGACGTATCCCTTAAGTAGCACTGCACTGTATCAATTGTCAGATCTGCTGTTCCTTTCATGAACTTCCTGAACATTTTCCCGCTGACGTACCGCCAATCTATCACTACACGAGACTAAATATTCAAAGCACTACACCTACTATTACCAAGTAAAAACCGTACTTAATTGTTAGATCTTCCGCTTCTGTCGGTGGGTTTCCTGAACTCATACAGTCAACCTATCACTACACCCGCTATTTCCAATTAAAAATCAACTGTTAATTGTCAGATCTACGCTTCCTGTCGGTGGACTTCCTAAACACGTTCTTACTGACGTACCGCGTGTTCACGGACGGCGTGACGGTGCTGGAGGCGCTCAAGCAGGTGTTCTACGAGCAGTCACAGCAGGAGATGGATCTGGCGCCGCCACCGGACGCCACGAGGAAGACCAGCGGCGCTAGCTCGGTATCTGGTAAGTGTTTTCGTTGGAACCTTGTTACTATTAATTTTTTCCGAAATGTGCGACAGACATAATTTCCTGGGCAAAATAAAGCACCCGTTTGTGGAATTAGAACCACAAATAATTCTGAAGGGTTTTCTAGCAAAGCGTTAGTTGTCCATAATTTTACTGAGCAGGGAAGGGTGTAGGCAATGCGTGAGTAACGTTCGATGGCTTAATATCAGCTATCTTCGCGTCTGGACTTCACCTTCACTTAACATCAGGTGGGGTGGAGTCATTTGTCGAACCTATCTATAAAAAAAAAACATTAGCTTCATAGACAATGGTAGCCGCTAATCACCAGGCTGACCTATATGCTCATTTCTTTTTTAAGTGGTTGTTTAAGCTATTAACTAATTTACTTGTACTACAAATATTTAGGTTTATAATGAATTGAACCAGTTATTAACATTAGTCTATTTGAATAAATTTTATTTATTTGTTAACCGTAAGGTTAAGTAGTGCTTAGTTGCAAATTCTATCGTTGTCATACTAGTGC